AATTTCCAACCCGCTGCTCAGACTCAACAACCTGTCTTTTGGGGACAGTTTTGTACACTTTCCTTATAGAGCCTCAGGGTTTTTTTGTACAGTACACCTTGTTTATATGCTACTGTAATTTTTGCTGATTGTACTGTACAGTAGTATGATTTCATGTCCTTTTATATGTTACAGTACTGCATGTAAGAGTTATACAAATAAAAGCAAAGTCGTCACAGGGTGTGGTGCCTCACACCTGTAATCCCAGCACTCGGGAGGCTGAGGCACAAGGATTACCAGGAGCTGAAGGCCAGCCCGGGCTACGTAGTGGGTTCAAGGCCAGCCTGCACTACAAGTTCAAGACCCCGTGTCTTAGTCACTTTTCTTGTTGCTGAGACAAAATATCTGACCCCCAAACTTAAAGGAGGAAAGGGTTATTTAACTCATGGTTTATACTGACTGGCTCCAAGGCAGGGTGGATGGCAGATACGCATTGCAGAGGAGAAATAGTTCATGGTGGGCAGAAGGTAGCAAAGCAAGCAAGCAAGCAAGGGCCCTTAACAGCGCCTTTCTGTCCCTTTTATACTCTGTGTAGGCTCCTGGTTTAGCGTGGTGCCAAACCAATCAGGGGACCAGTTTAGTAATCACACATCCTGAATCCCAGCATACACACTCCAGATCCAGCCACCATCTTTCTGCCCCACCCATGACCTCATGAGACTTTGAGGGGCCGTCTAGACACAGGCCATAATACTCTGTCTCAAAAAAAAAAAAAAAAGCAAAGTCATCCAGTTGGAGTTTCCTTTTCTCTGTTTTGAAGATTGTAATATACACACCACATACATCCACATCTCCTCAGTTATCACTTAGCAGCCAACTCATTTAACAGCCTCATAGCAGGGAGAAAACTCGGTCCTTAAATAAAGAGCACCTATAATTTAAAACAAACATTTACCGGCTTTGTTGTTAGTTGCCTCTAGTTTTTCCCTGACTCTAGCCTTCTGAGTCTTATCTGACCACACCTAGGAATGCTGTGGCCCATTTGAGTGGGAAGAGGAAAGTGGAATTCAGCAGGGCTGGAGTTTGGGCTGTCAGTGGGCAGCTGAGGGAGGCCTGGGCTCCAACACGCTGAGGTGACCACGAAGTGTCAGGAGAAGGACAAGGACACATAAGCTCCCCGCTCAGAGGGCCCCTGAGCAGAACAAGGGCGCGGGCTGGCCAGAATGTGTTTGGTTTCCTGGCTTACTCTCCAGGACTTACAAGGAACTTGTTTCTTTTGGCCGTAGCAAGCTGAGGCACAGAAATCTAAGTTCTTTATTTAATCTGATTTTCAGCTGTAGTGAAACTCACTTATCTATTCCCTATTTATATCCTCACCTGGTTTCAGAAAGAACTAGAGGAACCAGAGCTGTGACTAGCACGCAGAAGACTGATGTTTCTTCTCTCTCCGCCCTAACTAGTAGTGTGACCTCAGGCAAGCCAGATCTCTCGGTGTCGGTCGCCCACGCAGGATAGCACTTACTGCACACGCCACACACTGTTCTAGAGTCTTCCGTGCACCTTGTTATCTCACTAATTCCCTCCAAACAACTCATTATGGTCTCTGTCTTTCCAGAATTTCTCAGCGTGGTCCCAGTGCATCTTTCATCAAATACAGGGACGTGGCCTTTTGTGGCTTTTGCCATTTCAGACAATCTGGGATTCTTTTCTGGGCTCCAGAGAAACCAGTGGCTGACACCTCCAGTCTGCACCCCCAGCCAAGTCACTGAGTTTCACTGCGGATGGGGGCCTGGCCATTGAACTCGACTTCCGCTAAGACCCGTGCTGGACAGAAAAGGGGGTCTCCCTCCCAGCTTGGGGCCCGCTGCAGGCCCCCGGGGCAGAGGAATTCTTGTCTGCCTTGACTTTGGTGGCCGAGCACTGTGGTGGTGACATTTTCTCAGTTGGGAGCTGTGAGGGATGCAGCTCTCGGCATCCAGGAGGCCATCGGACAGCTCCCAGCCTCTGTCTGCCAGTCCAGGCTCTGGCTCTGACTTCCAGAGATTTCGTTCTCCCCCCGGAACCCCACCTGCCTCGGGTGGCCTGCAGGGGAGACCCGCGTTCCACATCCTGCCTGAGTCACTCTTCCCCACGCCCAGGCAGAGGTGGAGGGCGTGCAGGGTGGAGCTGGGGGCGGTCCCTCTCCTCCCCCCTCCCCGCCCCCCGTGGCTGAGCGGCCCCCACCCAGTGACCTCTCCATGGCCAAGCCCGGCCCCCTGCGTGCGTGGCAGTGTGTGCGGCGCGTGGCTTAGTGAGAGTCTGTTTAGGAAGCTCTGCCTGTGTGCAGGGTCACCTTTGCGGGTCTGTGTGTGGCATCTAGAAATGACACCGGGTCATCCTGTCCTGGGTGCTAGGGACGCAGAGGCCGCCGAGGGCCGTGGGCAGCGCCTGACCTGGGGACTTCACCTCGGGCGCCGCACTCCCCGCGCTCGGAGCGGTTATGAGCCCCCTCAAACACTGTCTCCACCCGCGGGACACGCGTGGATCCTGGCCCTCACACCCCCTGTGCAAGGCCACAGCCGGGGCAGGGACATCGGAGAGCAAAAAAAGTTCACGGGCTGGATACAAACCGCAGCCTCTCCCGCGCCCGTTCCACCGGCAAGACGCTGTGCGGATCGGGTCTGGAAGCGCTGTGGACGTAGGCGTAGCCCTCGCCTTCCGAGCTTAGGGTTCATTCACCGCCCGAGGGGGAGCCCCGCCCGCCCGCGCCGCGGAGGCCTGCGAGGGACCCGGGCGCACGGACAATGTGGGTAAACCCACTTGTCTCCAAATCGACCCGGGGGAGCCCCGGCGGACAGGCCCTCAGTTGGGGAGCTGCTGGCTGCCCTGGGTTTGAGCGCAAACTCGGCGCCTCGGGTGATCGGTGACCCCGCTGCCGCCTGTGTGGCTCGGGTCCGGCGCTGCGCCCCTCCCGGGGCTGCCCAGGGACGCGGGAGCGGACGGCGGCCTGGCAGACGGCCCGCTGCGGCTCACTTTGCAGACGGCACCTTCCATTCTCCGGTTGTTTCGGAGCGCGGGGCCAAGGCGCGGTTCAGCCTGCGCTGCGCGCGCGGTCTGAGCGGCGCCCGGCGGAGCGGAGAGCGCCCGGC